CAACCAACTTTGTCTATAGGCCTAGAATGTCTGACAGACCATTTTCAGAAGCAGAAAATTTTGAAAGACTGTTCTATCCTGTCTTGGCAAGGTTCAGCAGTTCTTTTTCTCAAACCCTGCTTGTCCAGATTGGACAGTGTGCTTATTGTCAGCTGTAAAGGCAAGGGCAGTTCTTTGCCTGATAGGCCAGTTTTGTCCAGAAGAAAGCAAGCTCCATCTGAAGTGTCTTCAGTGTCCACCATTCTCTTGGGAGTAGATCAGCACTGCCAGGAATAGTCATGTCTCATGTCAACAGAATTCTAAATTTTTAACACATTTAAATGCCATGTTCTGTAGGTATTTGAAGTGTTTGAGGATTACCTATCTATGCGTAGTACATCTCTGTGCATCTAGAGACCCTAACTAACATAATTATATGTATGACAAACATGAGTGACTATTCACCTGTAATTCTTAGTAACCTATATAACTTAAAGATTAAAGCTTTCCATCATAAAAATAAACAATCTTCAAACATGTGTATAGCTGTAATTAAGGAAGTCCATGAGAGCTCAGAACAAAAGATAATAACGGATTATTTGGGGAACACTTACAATACAAAGCTGCTGCGGTCTTTTACTCTGTTGGTGCTATTATTTAGTTATCAAATAATTTTTCTCTGTTAAAATCCTCAGAAAATTGTCGCAAGTGTAATAATCTTGATTGACCAGCAGGTGGAGCCGATGTTCGGGTGGCTGCTGAGATTTTTATGATGTAATGATAACATTTGGCCAGCAGATGTCGCAGTTGTACCGCTAAGGCAGGACCTGAATAACTTGTGAGACTTGTGAGAGCAGAGTTCAAATGAATTACATCTAAATTTGGTTAGATTTGGTAAGAACCTGATTACGGGGGTGGGGAGCGAAAGTTGCGGGCGGGCAGAGTCACCCGGGAGCCCACAAGCAGGTACACGCCGCTCGATCACCGGGTGGGAAGTGCCTGCCCCACAGAGCCACCAGGGGATTGATTGCACGCAAGCAACCAGGAGCGGGAAATTTAAAACCCCGGGTTTAAACGCACAGGCGCTGAGGCATGCCTGGAGGAGCCGCCAGTACTGGGACACATGTAGATGGTTCCCCGGCTGGAGACACGGGGCTGTTGAGCCGGAGGACTACGGAACTGGGGGTGGTGGCGGTGGCGGAGAGGGTGCTTAGCGCAGGCTCCGAACTCGCCGAATGCACAGCCGTGTCCGGCCACGAGGCACATCAAACAAAAAAGGCAGGCAGACCCGGCTTGAACGCTGTTAAAAACACGGGGAAAACTCTGGTCCACAGGGCCAGTGGTTGGCCGAATTGTTTAAAAACGCCCGGGCGGATGTACGGCCAGGCCTGCGGCTATTTCACGGCTGCAACCGCAGCTCACTATAGCGAGTGCGCGAGCTCCAGGGGCGAGTCTGAGTTAGGAGAGTCTTTCTGTGGTATTCACTCGTAAGTGGTTTTTAAACATAAAGCAAAGAAAACCAGCCCACAAATCACAATCCCAGAGAACCTAGACAACAATGAGGACCCTAAGAGAGACATACATAGATCTAATCTACATGGAAAATCGAAAAAGACAAGATCTCCTGAGTAAATTGGGAGTATGGGGACCTTGGGAGAGGGTTGAAGGGAGGGGAAAAGAAGGGAGGGAGCAGAGAAAAATGTAGAGATCAATAAAAGTCAATTTTAAAAAAGGGCAAAAAAGAAAACAAGAATATTTACACGTGATAATCGTCTTTCTGGGTCTGGGTCATCAGTGTTTTTGGTCTTGGCCATTCTTGCAGGTGTAAGATGGAACCTCAGAGTTGTTTTGATTTGCATTTCTCTGATGACTTAGGATGTTGAGCATTTCCTTAAGTGTCTTTCAGCCATTTTAGAATCCTCTGTTGAGAGTTCTCTGTTTAGGTCTGTACTCCATTTTTTTAAAATTGGATTATTTGTTCTTTTGATGACCAATTTCTTGAATTCTTTGTATATTTTAGAGATCAGACCTCTGTCTGATGTGGGGGTTAGTGAAAATCTTTTCCCGTTCTGTAGGGTGTCGTTTCGTCTTGTTGACCGTGTCCTTTGCTTTACAGAAGCTTTTCAGTTTCAGGAGGTCCCCTTTATTAATTGTTTCTCTCAGTGTCTGTGCTGCTGAATATTCGTCTTTTCTGGTGGTCTTAGGTGACCCCTGTGAAAGAGTCGTTCATTCCCGAAGGGGTCCTGACCCACAGGTTGAGAGCCTCTGTTTAAGCCATCACATGGATGTTGGGAACCCAGGTTTCTTGTAAGAGCAACAAGTGATCTTCACCAGGCAGTGATCTCTAACCACCCCCCACCCCGTCCCCATTTTACACAGGTCAATACCATCAATCCAATCCAACAGATGGAGCCACCTCCATTTAGGTAGGATCCTCCTTACTCCTTTAGACCAATCTAGAAACTTCCTCATAGGTGTGCCAGAAGTTTGTCTCCTAGGTGACTGTGGATCCTGTCCAGCTGTCAATCAACACAAAACATCAGAGGCACATGCTCAGGGAGGGAATTGTCATACAGTGACTGCTTAGCTTTAACCTGTTCACAACAGCGATACCCTGCACATCCCCGCCCATGGAGGTTCCGGCTTCTCCATATCTTACCATTATTTACCACATTTGAAAAAAATTGCCCATAGCTGTCATGGAAAATATGTCATGTCTTACTGAATTTTCAGGCTTTCACCTCCGACTCTGATGTTAACTGAGAGTTTCCCACAACTTCTATTAAATTAAGGAATGCCCCTTCCAGTCCTAGTTTTTCTTTTGTTTGTTTGTTTTGTGGTTTTCGAGACAGGGTTTCTCTATAGCGTTGGAGCCTGTCCTGGAGCTCACTCAGTAGACCAGGCTGGCCTTGAACTCATGGAGATCAGCCTGCCTCTGCCTCCCGAGTGTTGGGATTAAAGGCGTGCACCCCCCCAACAGCCAGCGTTAGTCCTAGTTTTATGAATATTTTTTATCATGCAAGGGTGCTAGGTGTCTCCATCAATTGGGATGAATGTGATATTTTTTCCATCAACTTATTAACCTGATTTTTTTGGTTTTGTTTTCACCAACTTTCCATGTCTCCTAAATCTCATGGGGTCGTGATGTGTATTTCACATATGCAAGATTGCACCTAACTCTGTATTTAGTTTTCTGGGATTTTGTGCAGTCTTTTCCTACACATCTGTACGGTATATTGTCTATGATTCTTCTTCTTCTTCTGATGTCCATCTGGTTTTGGTACCTTCTTGTCAGGCATGGTAGTGCATGCCTTTCATCCCAGCACTCGGGAAGCAGAGATGGGTTTCTGTGAGTTCACGTCTAGCCTGGTCTACAAAGGGAGTTCCAGGACAATCAGGACTACACAAAGAAACCCTGTCTCAAGCCACCCCCCAAAAAAGGTGAGAGAGAGAGAGAGAAAGGGAGAAAAAAAAAGAAAGCAAAAAAGAAAAGCCCACTAACGGTAACAAACAAACAGAAAAGAAAGATACTTGGAGGAAAATGGGTGGAACTGGAAAACATTAATTCAGGTAACCCAGACTCAGGAAGATAAATACTGTACAGGTGAAAGTAAACAGGGTTAAGGCTAGGAAACCAGAATGGCAGCCATGAGACCAGAAAAAGAGAGGCTTTGTGGAAATGGGGTAGGGAAGACAATAGAATAATGAGGAAGGGGGAGACTGCAGCAAGGGGCACAATGGAGGGAAGTTTAGGGGAGGGACAAACCAAAATAAAATATGTATGGACATCCCATATGGGAATCTGTCACTGGGTCACCCCTCCCCCACCCAGCCCTGTTCTTGGCCATTTTCTCATACAGATTTCTAGTTTCGTTTCACTGTGACTAGCAAGCATACTGTGTAGGGCCTCACTTCTTGTTTTTTTAAGATTCATGATTTCATGATTGTCTGGGTAAATAAGCCTGAAAATACTGTGCAGGAAGATTCCTTTTTCTCCTTGTTTATGGCACTAGGACCTGAATTCAGGCCTGCACACATGCCAGTCATGCCAAAGTTTTCTATAAATATTAATTAGGTTTAGTTTAAACATGATGATATTAGGTTAGGCACAAGGATGAATAACGCTTAGGGTATTAAAGAACTAAGCATGAAGACAGTCTCTGGCTTTGCAACATTCCAGCTCTTCGCAATCAAGTAGTTTTCACCCATCAGTCAGCACTGTAGAATCTTTAACGTCACTTCAGTTCACAGTAGTGTGTGAGGACAGCCAGAGCTACATAGTAGACCCTGTCGCAAAAAACAAGAGCAAAATAAGTCAATATCTGCGTTTTGGTCTTTGCAGTGAGCCTGTCAGTGAGCAATCACTTAAGGACGTACTTGACAAGTCAGAGGGTGAATTCTAAATTGTCAAACAAGACCAGTGGTCTCCAGTTATGAATGAAAAAAAATGTCCTTTTTCTTATGGCCTTTGCTAAGTCTCCTGTCAACAACTTCTTAAGGTCTGAACACCAATCTTGCACTCCTTATTTGGCCCCTCCCACTTTCTTTGGTCCCTCCCTCAGCCCCGCCTCATTTGCGTCTATCCTTTTTTGGCCACGCCTCTAGTAGTTCCTTCTGCCCGGCTTCTTCGACTACCCCGCCCCTCGCCAGCCCCACTCAAAGTACCCAACCTCTTCAGTACTCTTTGGGCCCCGCCTCTAGTCCCGCCCCCACAGTAACTTTAGACTCCGCCTCTTTCTCTTTTGACCCCGCCTCCAAAACCCTCCTTTGATTCCGCCTTTCTCTAGTCCTCCTTCAACTCAGCCGTAGCCCCGCCCAGCTCCCTAATCAGCCACGCCCCAATCCGGCCCTGCTCCTCCTTTGGTCCCGCCTACCGCCGCACTCCGCTTCTCTCTTTGGTCCCGCCTCCAGCCGGGCTCCGGCACTTTGCGCGCCCCGCCCCTCCCGACCCGAGGGCGTGGTCGGCCGCCCAGAGGGCACGTCGACGTTCTCACGCCGGGGCGGGGCTTGACGTACGCGTGTGGAGCGTGGGTTCGCGTACCTCCGCGGGTTTCCTGCGCCGGTGGCGCGCAGTTCCCAGAGAACCGACAAGCTGCGAAAGTCGAGGGTCGCCGCACGCCAGCCTTGGCTCCGTGCCTGCGCGCGCTGGGGAGCGGGCCGAGCCCGCCATGGCTCACCGCTGCCTGCTGCTATGGGGCAGGGGCGGCTGCCGTCGCGGCCTCCCTC